GCCCTCTCCACAGGGAGAGACAGAGAGAGAGCTTCATTGTCACCCTGGCACTGTGACCCTACAACATGGCAAGCAACTCACCTTACCCTCCCCTCCCCCCCTTCCCTCGCTTTGCTCCTCCTCCTCCTCCTCCTTTCCCCGCTTCTCCCTCTCCTGATTCCCCTCATTGTCATGCTCTTTCTTGACTCTGTTTTCCACAAGACTGCCCTCACCATTGCGTCCACACAATGGACCTTGATACTTAAGGAAACACCTTCGATGAACATTCAAATCCGTGACCGACCACACAGAGGAATCGGCCAACAATGGAGCATCATGAAGCTTGCAGTTGTTAATACAGAATTTTCAAGTTTATGAAGTCACAATGCGTTCAACGGTCAGCCGTAGGTAAGCTCAGACATAGGCTCCTTCCATAACACTTCCACAAAGCGTGAAGTAGCAGTCGCAACTGCCGATTGTCGATTGCCTTTTCACACCTACCTACCTTGTCCCCAATAAGGTCAAGTTTTTCATTCTCCTCAGCCCTAATCGCATTTTCCTGGGCAATTATGGCATCATCACTGGGACGCTCATACCGATCTCCTGCGCAATCGAGCATAGTCCCATCTTCTATGAAAGAGGCAGCTCCAGAGTCCCCCGTGCATTCTCCAGTACACTCTGCCATGCAGACCCCAGATTCAGTAGAGCCCTCCGCTCCGCCAAACCTTCCATCGTCCTTCTCGGGCTCTTCATTCATCATCACGGCAAAGCTGGGGCAAACTGCATTACCAAGGAGAGAAAAAAAGAAGACAGTGAGTCCTCCAAAAACAGGGGAAAAAAAGGGCGCACGCATTACATTTTCAGCTCAGTTGCTGCAGAATCCGTTCTTCGCAGGTCACCCCAAACTCCTTCCCCTTCCTTTTCTCTCTTGACTTAGTTCGCTTACTGGAGAGGAATGTTCAGAAACACAAGCAACGGCTCGTTGCACAAGCTTTCGGCCCTGCCTCAGGTTAGAGGAAGAGAGTGTGGAGGAAGAACCAAGTGAGGCACATACTCACACTTGTACTTGTCCACAGAATCTGGTCAACTTTGTGGTCAGATACGTCGCAGAAACTCATGTTTTGTGTGTGCGTGTGAGTACCGCCAAGTGAAATTTGAGAGATAGATCCAGTTTATTCAACAACATACACAATCTTCTTACATTGCCTTATAAAACCTCATCTCACAAACAGGGAGCAAGAGAATGTGAGAAGGAGAAAGCTAAACCGCCCCCCCCCCAAAAAAAAAAACAGGTCCTCATGTTCCTGGCTCCTCATCCATTCTGGGCAGCATCAGTGCAGTTCGTTCCTTCCTTTTTCTTCAAAAGGGTGACAGTCTTGAGGTATCATCATCGAGTTCCCTGGCCCCAGGTAATTCAGAATTACTCCATTGCATTCGCCTAGGTCCATCAGGATTCGAACTTGGGTCTGTAACTCAACAGTTCATGCATCAGTGTAGTACCAACTGCACTCGGCTCGTTGGTTCATCGGTCCGGTTCACTCGACAGTTCATGCACCGGCGTAGTACCAATTGCACTGGCCTTGTTCGTCCATCAATCCGGTTCATATTCCACCAGCAAGTCCGAAAAGATACAATACAACTCGCATCACGCTTCCTTTCGTTTTTTTGTCTGAAGGATTCCTGGCCAGAGGATAAACATTTATAACACAGGGTCTAATCCAAAAAAGAATTGCTAACGCAGGTCCGATCAATCAAACATAGGGTTCTAACCATTTTCTTAGTCACCCACAGGCTAGGCTACCAGAGTGGCCCGGGGCCACTTGCCCGGCCAGGCCAAAAAAAAATAAAAAATATAATAAATATTTTGTCATGACCCGCCATAACACAGACTGAGAACACTGCTGATTTCTGAAGTTCTGCCAATGGAATGGATGCCTTGCTGAGATTCCTGCATTCTGCTGTGTTTTCTAAGTCTGTATGTGTGCGTGCCTGTTGACTTGCGTGCCTGTCTGAGTGCTTGTCGACACGAGTGTGTGTGTGACCCGCAAGGGTACTTGCTTGTTTGGCAGGCCCGTAGGGCCGGTACTTACCTGTGGCCGTGGCATTGAGGGTTGCAGCGGAAAAACACTCAAGTAGCAGGTAGGCCGGTACCGCACCCAGTAGCAGCAGATGTGCCGGGTACTCGAGGCCGAGCAGAAGACAAAGTTGGCATTTTTAGAGGCCCAGTAGCGGTAGGCTAGGTCTAGGCCGGTACCAGTCCATCCAGTCTGAGTCTAGAGCCTGTACGGG